TCTCTCTTCTCTCTTCTCTCTCTCTCTCTCTCTCTCTCTCTTTCTCTCTCTCTCTCTCTATCTCTCTCTCTCTCTCTCTCTCTCTCTCTCTCTCTCTCTCTCTCTCTCTCTCTCTCTTCTCTCTCTCTCTCTCTCTCTCTCTCTCTCTCTCTCTCTCTCTCTCTCTCTCTCTCTCTCCTCTCTCTCTCTCTCTCTCTCTCTCTCTCTCTCTCTCTCTCTCTCTCTCCTCTCTCTCTCTTCTCTCTCTCTCCTCTCTCTCTCTCTCTCTCTCTCTCTCTCTCTCTCTCTCCTCTCTCTCTCTCTCTCTCTCTCTCTCTCTCTCTCTCTCTCTCTCTCTCTCTCTCTCTCTATCTCTCTCTCTCTCTCTCTCTCTCTCTCTCTCTCTCTCTATCTCTCTCTCTCTCTCTCTCTCTCTCTCTCTCTCTCTCTCTTCCTTCGTCTTCTGACCCTGCACCTATGATGGATACAGTTTCACTGAGCTGAACGGATCTTGAAGCAACCTGAATCCCAGACCCCGAATTTTTACAAAGCTTAGTTGCTGCAACTGGCGTCAGTCGTAGGCAGCCCAACACACCGTTACTGCAATAACGGTGTTTTCACTCGACCGAAAAAATAAGTAAGCTGAGATGCCGGAGATGGCGATTAGGTATCCAATATGCAGTCAAAACACCGCTATACCTTCTGAGAAGCTTTTCATTCGACCCGAAAAAATAAACGGGAGCAAGCATCACACCATTGCTTAAAAACCTGAGCGCCCGTAATTGCAAACAATTAACCTGCAGAGGGTTGTAACGTAAAGTGCGGTGATGTTCATCACCCACCCAACAGCTTAACAGTGATACCAGCCAAGCATCAGCACGCAGCAATGGAAGCACCTTGCAACATTTTAGGCTGGACCAGCATGATGTATAGTTGATTCACATCATATATATATATATATATATATATAATATATATATATATATATATATAATCGGTTTCACAGAATGTCCCTTGACGCGTGTTGCACCCATTCATGCCCCCCCCCCCCCCTGGTGTGGACCACTTGTGTGACAGCCGTGCGCCGTTAGGACGGTTTGCGTGGACGCTTAGTCACGTGCGGCCACCGCCTGTGGACCGCAGTGGACCGCTGCCGTTGTTTCTCGTGTTTCGTCCGCGGGGTTCCGACGTCACGTCAACCCCCGATTGAAGGGGAGCAGACCTGACAGCGGCGTTGGCCGCGCCAAGTCAAACGTGAGTGCGCCGCTGCACGCCCACGCTCGTCCCCTCTCCCCATTCTGCCCCCCCCCCCCCTGCCCCCCAAAAAACGTGGTCGACACGGCACCTAGGAAGGTCCGGCGCGACGAAAGCGACAACTCAGCGACCAGCGACAACAAACGACTCCGAACGACAGCCGTCGCTCACCGGAGAGCGATGTTTGGGCGCCGCGGCCGCTATATTGGAGCGACATCAGAGCGACGGCAGAGCGACGTCGTCCGAGCGGCGCCGGTCAGGGTTCGGATGGCGCGCCGCTGGCTGCCGGCGCTATGCTGACGCGAGCGTGTGTGGTGCAGCGGCGGCAGGCTGGCGGCGGGCCTGCGAGCTCCGCAGTCGGCCGAGATGGTGCTGCCATCTGTATTGTCCGGCGAACCCAGCTGGGGTTCGAAGCGTGATGAGAGGTCACGCGTTGTCCACCTGCGTTGCATGCGCATGAATATCGCCGATGAAAAATCCCGCGTACGTTCATCGCTGGTGAAAAACTACGACAGAAACGCCTATGAAATAAAGGACAAAAACCTTCTCTAAGATACCGGGCGACCCAACATGTTTTGTCGACATTTTTTGAGGAATCTGCTCACCCCACGGTCGGCGGTTAGCATGATTCGGCTCTCTATTGCTTCCGGCCTGTTTAGCATCAGCAGGTTGTAATCGGATACACGCACTGCCGGAGCGGCGTTGTGCCATCCCGCCGCCACCTTACCTCGGCGAGCCGACAAAGGACCTTGCGGAAGCCTGCTGGGGTGGAGAGATTACCGAAGCTCGGGTTCAAACCAGCCGGCCTACGACAGCCGGAATGCGGGGCCGTCGTGCCTCCGTGCACTCGTGGACCTGCTTATGCCGGCTTACGTTGGCTAGTTTGCTGCTGGAAAGGCTTGTGATATGTCGAAAGCTTTGCCGAGGTCGGTGCGCCCGCCAGCCGCTCGGCCTGATTGACACGGCGTGGGTGACCCCGCCGGGGTCAATTCGCTACACCCCAGCTCTGTACATGTGCCGGCGTTTTTAACGCGCGACCTCTGCCCCTATCCGGGCAATTAGGGGCCTTCAGACATGATGAGGCGAAATGCATAGTTGATATTAGTTCCACTTTTCAGCGGCGGATGGTGGGGCGATTCACAAGGGCTCGTATCTCTCACGCGGAACCGGTCTAGATGAATCCGATTGGCCAGTTTTTACGACATCATTCCATGTCGTCTTGGCCAGATGGCTTATGCTCTCAGGTTTTACAATCGCCTGAAAGGTTTGTGTATCAGCATAACATATATCCGCGCCGAGAGCAGATTTTCTCATGACAGCATCGCCGACACTAAACCTCCTTACTTACGGCGTAAACTGGCCTCCATTCTGCCTGAAAACGAAGGCTTCTTGGCTCCCGGGAGCATAAGTATTCGCGTCAGCACGCGATAAGTTACCAGCTGACACCTCTGCAGCCTGCGGGGCGCCTTATACGGCTGTGGAGCAGGTGTTTGTAACGGTTGGGCGCGTCGCGGGACGCGGCGTGTCGCTCTCTGGGTGGGCTCGCTCTCCGGCACCTCCCACGCGGGGCCCACCTTTCCGCCAGTCACCTATGAAGATATCAGCCGGGGGCACACCGCCGCTTTGTTCGAGACCGCGTGCAAATATTGGCTCGCCTTCTGGAGCCGGCGGCGGGGCTGGACCGGCCCTAATTGGACCAATAATCGGGCCGCGCCAAACAAGATATGCGGGAATAACGGCCGTAAATAGGGCTGCAGCGATGGCGGCCGCGCTGTCGGCCGCGGAGAGGCGTCCTCTGCCTGCATCCTCGTCCCCGACGGCAAGCAGCACCGTCGGCTGCAAAGGGGTGTTCTCTGTCCCCCTCGTCGGCCGCAGAGGGGTGTCCTCTGCCCGCACCCTCGTCCCCGACGACAGCAACACCGTCGGCTGCAAAGGGGTGTTCTCTGTCCCCCTCGTCGGCCGCAAAGGGGTGTCC